TGTCTGTCTGTCTGTCTGTCTGTCTGTCTGTCTGTCTGTCTGTCTGTCTGTCTGTTTTTCATTCCCTCGTTTGTCTGTCCCTGGTATATCTTTTACTCCAACTGTCTTACTAATCCCCAGCACTATATGGCCGTTACCGCGTCGATGTGCTTCTCCTTCCTCTAACAAATAAATAAACAAACATAAAGTTACTTCAATCAATGACCTCTAATCTATGTTCCCCTGTGTGTGTCATTTCAGAACTTCCATTCGGCTGGGAGAAAGTGGAGGACCCGCACTATGGAGTCTACTATATCGAGTAAGTTGTCTCGGAGTCCTTGTGTCTGTTGTTTGGCTACGCACAGTGTCATTGTTGGTGCTTTTGTGGTGATGTTTGTTGTTGCTGTTGTTACTTTGGTTGTTGTTCTTGTTGTTGTTCTTGTTATGATTGTTGTTGTTGATGGAGCTGCTGTTGTTGTTGTTGGTGTTGCGGTTGTTATTGTTGCAGGTATTTTGCTGTTATCGTTGTTTTGATATTGCTGTTGTAGTTGATGATAGTGGTGTTGTTGTTGTTGGTGGTGGTGCTGCTGTTGTTGTTATTTTGTTGCTACAGGTTTTTGTTGTTTGCTTCTACTTCTGATTTGATTGTTTTTATGCTGCTGCTGTTATTGTTGTTGTTGTTGTTACTCTGTATGTGTGTGTGTGTGTGTGTGTGTGTGTGTGTTGCATGCAGTGTGTGTGTGTGTGTGTGTGTGTGTGTGTGTGTGTGAGAGAGAGAGAGAGAGAGAGAGAGAGAGAGAGAAAGAGAGAGAGAGAGGAGAAATAAATACTGTGACTGATATGCTCTTTGATTTTCAAACACATTGGACGTTCAATGAGCCCCTTCCCACCCCTCCAATACTTCTGCCTACGGTTCTATTGCCGCCAATCCCGGGTACGTAGGCGCCTTTTTCTACTTCTTTTTCCTGGACTTCCAATGTCTAGGTCAGCTTCCTGACGAAAATATATCTGCTGTCGTGATGGCGTCGTCGCAAAATTAGAATCGAAATTCCTAGTCTGGTTCCTGCCAATTGCGTAGAAACGTGGTCTGGACGTGGCCGATTGATTATCTTTTACGCCGCTATCGACACAGTGGCGATTATTAGAGAAGTTCAACTTCTATTCGCCTTTATGATATGAAACTTAACTTCAAAGTTTAGTTAGTTTTAGTAGAGTTTTTACGGGGCTCGCAACTGCATGAAAGTCATTTGAGCGCCATTAACTTTAAAGGGTCCCAGTGACATGACACTTTGTTTTTGCTGATATTTTTTATTCTCCTATTTAAAAAATTATTTCAACTGAATTTACGTGTTTAGAGAATTACACTGGTGTTATGTGTGCTTGGTTATTGGTTTGATTATAAAAATTATCCTTTTGTAAATATAGAGAACCGTCGGGTGGGGGG